GCAGCAGCAGCGAGTGCATGCAGTTGCCATGTCTCACAAGCGGCTTCCTCTATCTTATGAAGGGCCCCTGGGGGCTCCCCCGGGGGGCCCCCTTGGGGGCCCCCTGGGGGGCCCCCCTGGGGGACCCCCGGGGGGCCCCCTAGGAGGCCCCCGAGGGGCCCCCTTAGGGGGGGCCCCCACGGAAGATATGTGTGAAGCTGTTTGTTGTGGGGAGGACAATACCAGTTTTGCTGCTGCAGCAAGCACTGCCTGCAGCAGCAGCAGCAGCAGCAGCATGAGCCTAAGCAGCAGCAAGTGCAGCACCAGCAGCACTCCGCGGGGCGCCTCCTCCGCTAGCCCCTTCTACCCGTACTTAGCGGACAGCAGCAGCAACAGCAGCAGCAGCAGCAGCAGCAGCAGCAGCAGCAGCATGGGGGCCCCCTACTGCTTCTTTGCAGACACCCCAATGCCCAGCCCCCGGGTGTCTGCAGCAGAACTGCAGCGGGAGGAAGAGAGACAGGAGGCCCTCTTTAACAGCAGCAGACGCGGGCAGCAGCAGCAGCAGCAGCAGCAGCAGCAGAAGGGAGCCGCTGCTGCAGCTTTTAGCCCACCCCCCATGCCGCCCCTGCGGCTCCCCACAAACTGTCCGTACACCCGAGAAGCAGCAGCAGCAGCAGCAGCAGATAAAAAGCAGCAGCAGCATCAGGAGCTAACACGACAGTAGCAGCAGCAGCAGCAGGAGCTAGCACGACAGCAGCAGCAGCAGCAGCAGCAGCAGTTTATTTCCGTTTTCGCCCGTTTGACTTCCACTCTCTACCCAGGCACTCGCAGACTCCCCGACTCCAGCCCTTAGGGTTTAGGGTTTAGGGTTTAGGGTTTAGGGTTTGCGTGCAGGCAACAAGCGGGCGGACAGCATTGAAGGCTGCATTTCGAAGCTGCTGCAGTGCGAGGCTTTAGCAGCAGCAGAAGTGCAGCAGCTTTGTCGAAAGTTATCTGAAGTTCTTGTCAGTTTTATTATTCTTTTATTCTTTTATTCTTTTATTCTTTATTTGATTCCCATTTCCCTACTGCTGCTGCTGCTTCTGCTGCTGCTGCTGCTGCTGCTGCTTGATGCTGCTTGGCGTTGTTTGCTGCTGCTTGCTGCTGCTCGATGTTGCCTACTGCTGCTTGCTGCTGCTGCTGCTTCTTGCTGCTTGCTGCTGGTTGCTGCTCTCTGCTGCTGCTTGCTGCTGGTTGCTGCTGCTTGCTGCGACGTATTTTTGGTTTGTTTTTTGTTTTTGATTTCAATTTAAAACTTCAATTTAATTTTGCATTTGTTTATTTGTTCATTTCAATTTATTTCTTTTCCTTTATTTGCTGCTTCCATTTATCATTTCTTTTGCTTTATTCATTTGTTTACGCATTTCTGGCAGTTTAATGTTTTCCTAAACCCTAAACCCTAAACCCTAGAGCACAGGCCCTCAGTCTCTCTGCTGCTTTCTCGCTTTCCGTCTAAAGGGTTCAGCCTGGGGTTTAGGGTTTAGGGTTTAGGGTTTAGGGTTTAGGTCTGGGAAGAGCTAGTGTTTGGAGCTCAGCACTAAGACCTCAAGAATAAAGGGTTTAAAGCCCCCAGCCTTGAGGGTTCAGGGTTTGAGGTTCAGAATTCAGGGTCTAGGGTTTAGGGTTTAGGGTTTAGGGTTTAGGGTTTAGGGTTTGCGTGCAGGTGCGGGAGCCAAACTGCTTGGCCGTGGAAACCCCCGTGACAGTCGCTGGGGACATCCACGGCCAGTTTTACGATTTGCTGGAATTGTTTAGAGTTGGTAAATAAAAATAAATAAATAAGTAAATAAGTAAATAAATAAATAAATAAATAATACATAATGAATAAATAGTTATATTTAATTAATTTATTTAGTTTGATTTTGATTTATTCGAAAAAAAGAAATTCAACAATGCAAAAAATGTCTTTCCCGCAAAGGCCCGTTTTGTCCTGTCTTCAAATAAATAAATAAATAAATAAATAAAAATAAATAAATAAATAAACAAATATATAAATAAATAGATAAATAAACAAATAAAATAAATATAAATAAATAAATGTTAATCATTAAATTAATTAAGCAATTCATATATAAATAGATTAATTAAATTAAAAGAATTGAATGAATAAATTATTAATTCGTAAGTTCCCAACCCTGATAAATTAATGATTAATTAATTAATTAATAAAACGAAATATTAATCAATCAATTTAATGAATTGATCAATTAAAATGTTAATTAATTAAATTAATTGATTAAAGTGTCAATTAATTAATTAAATTAACTAGTTAATTAATTAATTAAAATTTTTCTTTATTTATTTTGTTTTTAACTGCATTTCCGTTTTTTTCGAATTTTCGAATTTCAAAACCAAATCAAATAAAACAAAAGCTGACTAACCATTAATCAATTCTTTTTTCACTACAACAAATTAATTAATTAATTAATTAATTGATTGATTAATTAAATTTATTTATTTATTTATTTATTTGTTTGTTTGTTTTTTATTTTCTATTTTTTATTTTTAGGAGGCTTCCCCCCTCAAGTGCGATATTTGTTTTTGGGGGATTATGTGGACAGAGGGTTTTATTCGGTGGAGGTTTTTTGTTTGATAGCAGCACTGAAAATAAAGTACCCTTCTTCAGGTCTTTTGAACCCTTTTCAAACCCTTTTTTAGGGTTTTAAAACCCTCTTAATTCTACTTTTATTTCCCTTTTGCTGCTGCTGAAAAATGGAGAAAAAATGATGCAAGAAACGAAAAGAACGAAAATAAAATGAAAATTCTGCTGCTGCTGGTTTCACTGCCCTTTCTGCTGCTGCTGTTCTCACTGCTGCTGCTCTGTTGCTGCTGCTGCTGCTGCTGCCGCTATCACTGCTGCCGCGCTGCTGCTGCTGCCGCTCTCACTGCTGTTGCTGCTGCTCCTGCTCCCACTGCTGCTGCTGCTGCTGCTGCTGTTCTCAGTGCCGCTGCTGTTGCTGCTGCTGCTGCTGCTCTCAGTGCTGCTGCTGCTGCTGCTTGCGCTGCTGCTGCGTGCAGTGTTCGTGCTGCGGGGCAACCACGAAAGCCGCAGCATAACGGAAGTGTACGGGTTTTACGACGAGTGCATGCGCAAGTTTGCTGCTGCTGCTGCTGCATGCGTTTACAAATCTTTCATGGAAGTTTTCGATTTGCTGCCGCTTGCTGCTGCTGTTGACAACGAGTACTTTTGCGCCCACGGCGGACTCAGCCGAGAAATCACCTCCATTGACCAGCTGCAAACCATTAACAGGTGCTGCTGCTGCTGCTGCTGCTGCTGCTGCTGCTGCTTCTGTGTTGGGCGTGGTGGTGGTGATGCTGCTGCTTTAGGTGGTGGTGGTGGTGCTGCTGCTTCTGCTGTTGGTAGTGATTTTGCTGCTGCTGCTTTTTGTTGTGATGGCGGTGCTGCTGCTGCTGGTAGTGCTGCGGCTGCTGCTGCTGCTGTTGGTGGTGGTGGTGGTTTTTGTGATGGTGGCCGTGGTGCTGCTGCTGTTGCTGCTGCTGCTGCTGCTTTTTTGTTTGTTTCTACACTAATTTGTTCATTAATGGAGCACTCAAAAAGACTGTTTAGCTGAAGTTCAGGGCCTAGGGTTTAGGGTTTAGGGTTTAGGGTTTGGTCCTCATGTATAGTACGCCGGGTCTAGGGCCTAGGGTTTAGGGTTTGAAGCTTGGGGTTCAGGGCTCAGGGTCTACGGCTCACGGCTTAGGGTTTAGGGTTTAGGGTTTAGGGTGTAGGGTCTAGGGTTCAGGGTGTAGGGTTTAGGGTTTAGGGTTTAGGGTTTGCTGCAGGCAGCAAGAGCCTCCTTCTGAGGGTGGGATGAGCGAGTTGCTTTGGTCGGACCCTTTTGACTCTTCAGTTGTCGATACACCTGAAGAAGCAGCAGCAGCTGCTGCTGCTGG